GGAGGCGATGTATCCGGGAATGGGGGTGATCTCGCTGCAGCCTACCCCGGCACCGGTGCCGGCACCGGTGGTCGCGCCGCCGAGGCAGTTTGGGGAGGAGGTGGCTCCGGTGAGAAGAAATCCGATGCGGTCGGCAAAGAACAAGCCCGCGGCCGCGCAACCACAAAAGCCGCCGAAGAAGGTACGCATCAAAGCCCCAAAGAAAGCGCAGCCTCAAGCTGCCTCGCCAGAGGCTGCGAGTTCCTTCCTCGAGGGGGATACGACGCTGGTCAACACGCCAGAGCCGGGGAACAACAAGTTGTTTGGCGACAACAACGCCGCGTTCGAGGCCATCAATAACGGCGAACTATTCGAAGACTGGCTCGGAGACCACGCCGACCAAATCTCCCTCGCCTTCAAGTCCCCGTCGCAGCCTCAGATCATGCCCCCCTTCGAAGGGCCCCCGCAGAACCTGGAGCAGATCCAGCAGATCGTCGGACAGGATCTGGTCATGACCGACGCGGACGCCGCGGCAGTCGCCGACGCCGTGATTGACCCCGAGCTGCAGAAGATAAGCAGCCAAGCTGTCGCGGACGACAAATACCAGGGCATCATCAGACAGCACGTCTACCAAGCAATGACCACCTTCATGCAAGACAACCGCTTCATGCCCGTCGAGCTCAGGAACATAAAGCCGCCCGAGTACACGACGGATCTCCCCGCCACCGCGCTCGTCCCGCCCCCGGCGCGGATTCTCCTGCAGCTCGAAAACGCACCCGCCAGCGCCGAGGAGGCCAACCGCATCCCCCATGCCAGACGGCCCAAGAACGAGTGGGACAACCACGTCTTCAACAACCTCCTGCAGTGGAAGCGGCCCGTCTGGAACGCGCTCGCCTCTATTCCCGACGCCGCCAAGCAGCTCGTCACCGTGGACAACCGCAACCGCACCTGCGAGGAGTTCGACATGCAGCCGGTCACGGGCAACGTCTGCGGCGCCGCCGTGGCCAACAACGCCGCCTGCGAGAGCCTCGAGCACATGCCCGCGCGCCCGGCGCCGTACATGGTCTGCGACGGCTGCGACCTCAAGACCCGGCGCAGCCTGTTCATGGGCACGCAGCCGCTCAACCGGGCCGAGTTCCTGCGGATGCGCGCGTACGCGTGTCGCGAGTGTTCGGACCGCGAGAGGCAGACGGCGGACTTTGGCGTGGTCGGCAAGCCGGAGCACCCGGTCACGGGATGCATGTGCGCCGAGAAGCTGATCGGCCGGCGCGTGTGCATGCACCACCGGTTCCGCATGGCGCGCGAGATGATGGTGCACACCATGTTCACGTCCGAGTGGGCGCTGACGAACTTCGGGCCCGACGCGTGCTTGTTCTGCAAGCGCGGGGACGACGGGCACAAGGCCGCCAAGACGGTCGACGACTTTATGCACCAGAGCCTGGTGTATCTGTGCCTCAACTGCCAGGGTGTCGTCGTCGAGCCGTGGACCTCCGAGTTGAGGGACGGGATTGAGACCATGCTTGGGAACATCGAGCCGATGACGATGGCCAAGCAGGTTTGGAGGCCTGAGGGCGCGGACGTGGCACTGTTGACCCAAGCCATGATCGTGTAGGCGGACTGCGGTGGGCTTGCGGATTGGATTTCCTGAAGGACCTGTATATGGAAGGAGCATGGCGACAGGTTGACTCTGGGCGGAAGAGACGCCGTTGGTGTGTCTGGGTCACGATTGGGTAGGAGGGGGGGTTTCCCACGGATAGACTTGTTTTTTCCTGCGTTTTTGTTAGTGATACCACCATGGCGGTGAGTGATGAGACTGGAGGCTTGCATTTGTGTTTCGGATGATGGTGTTGGAAAAAGAAAGTAATCCTCGTTTTTTCTGACAATTTTCTGGGCTGGCGGTTGGTGTCTCGCCGTGTTTTGCAGGCGGGAAGGCGGCCGTTGAGATTTACTCGTATGAGGTTGGCTGCATTAACTAATGAGGCTGGGCTGCGCAGGTGTGAGTGGTTGAAACTGACATCGGAGTTGTTGAGAGGCAGGCTGAGAGCCACTTCAACGACCTCGAACAATGTTGTCGGTCTTGTCATCACTTATATCCATCTCCATTACCGTACTTCACTCTACGGTCGTTAAGATGGCTGCGCAGATTCACATGTTGTGAAAGTATGAGATGGGAGCTGTCGCTCTATGCCTCACCTCAGCACTTGATCTTCACAAACAACACCAATGCTATTAAAGACGGTATTCTAATATCACAAGACTTCTTACTCGCATCAGGGCGTACACCATAGCAGCTATGCCGTCTCGTCAACATCACATAAACTTCAAAGCAGACGGAACCTCTGGCTCAACTAACGACAAGGGAATTTGTATGACTTGACCACTGACTCTGACCTCGAAAACCTCGCGGTGTCTCGGAAGAAAGAAGAAATTACAGGTATGAAAAGAGAAAAAAAAAAAGGAGTACCGATATAAAGAAGAGACAGAGACAAGCCGATGTTTGGTCTCAAAAAGCCCTCCCAGTGCGTAAAGAATCTCGAGTCCGCCCCTCGCGAGGTCTTGCGGCCAACAATTTCCGGGCCGACGAACCAACATGTCCGTTACCCTATTTTTGCCCTCCATGGCTCCTGATGAGGCCTCGCCAGAGGACCCTCATCTCCCCACGCCATCATCGTACAACCCAGGTGACAAGGTCATGTCCATGAAGTTGCCCTTGAAAGAAACGCGTTCCAAAACAGTGCAGCAAGTCAGAACCCGACTCCCCGTCCGATGCAGCACAAACAAGTTTTTGATCATTGAATCCCGCGTCAACATGTCTTCTCGAGCCCGACTCTCCTGGGCCAGCTTGGACCGCCCGAGAGTCCAGACGGAGAAACCGTGCGTTCAGCATTTGCCAGCATCCACCGGCCAGTCAAGGTCCAGGTATTTTCACGTCCGTGGCCGCTCAGTTCGCCACTACCCCTCCCGCTCTCTGTCCGCAGTCGTGAGAAAACCGCTCACATTATTACGCACTTGGAGCAGCATCCTGCTTCTTGCTCGCCGCCCTCGACGTCCATGGGCTTCGGTGGGCCGTTGATGCCCGAGGCGCCGCCGCTGCCGGTCGAGTAGCCTTGCATCTCGCGGTTGTATCTTCGGATCTCGCGAACAATGTCGTAGAAGGCCTTGTCGACGTTGATGCGGGACTTGGCGGATGTCTCGATGAACTTGCAGCCGAAAGACTTGGCGAGAGCCTCTCCCTCTGTTGTGATGGTCAGTTGCCGATCAATGTAAAATTGGGATGAAAAGGATGCAGCGACGCGGCGCAGCAATAAATGAAAATCGTACCTTGTCGTGTGACTTCTCTCTCGCCCTCCAAATCGCACTTGTTTCCGACGACGACCATGGGGAAGTAGTCCTTGTCCTTCACTCTCAGGATCTGTTGCTGGAACGTGGTGATTTCCTCGAAGCTCTGTCGCGACGTGATGGAGTAGACCAGCAGGAAACCCTCGCCCGTTCTCATGTACTGCTCTCGCATAGCAGAGTACTCCTCCTGGCCGGCGGTATCGAGAACATCGAGAAGAGCGACCTCCTCGTCGATGACGCACTGCTTGCGGTAGGAATCTGCGATGAGGGTGGCGATGTTAGCACGCGATTGATTCGCGGTCGCGTATGGGGCTCAGAGCGACGAGCGACGCACCTTCGATTGTCGGGTCATATTCGTCGACGAAATGACTCTGGATCAATTGGATGGTCAAGCAGGATTTACCGACACCACCGCCGCCGACGACGACCAGCTTGTACTCCCTCAAGAACTGCGAGCAAGGGCAACGGGGTTAGCGAGCGATCTCCGGGGCGAGAGAAGGGAGGCGACGGGGCGCGACGACGATGACGACTCACCTTGGAGGCCATTGTGATGTGTGGTTGTTAATGAGGATGTCGGAGATGACGACTTGGTATCCTCGCGGCGTTTGTTGATGGCTTGAAGCGCAGATGTTTTGGCGACGCTGGAGTCCGGATGGCAAGTCAGGAGGAGCCAGGCGGATTGGGGAAAGGACCAGATGGCGATCGATTTGGCAACTGGACTCTTTGACGGATGGTCTCTTTCTTTCTGTTCGGTCCTCAGACGGGTTTGCAGCGAGCGAAACGACGGGTGGGAATCTGGGACGGCACAGGCCGGATTGCGAAGTTTAAAAGTGAAACGACGAGGTTCGATGGCAGGAATCCGGGACTGACAGCAGACAGTCTTTCGAGAAGGAGAACGAGAGAATGGGGTGGTGTTTCGTTGCTAAGGGGGGCTTTTTGGCAAAATGTGGAGATGGGGGGAACGGGTCGGTCCAGTGTCTGGTCGGTCCAGTGAGAGAGCAGAGAGGAGAGAGAGCGAGCGAGGGCGATAGGTGAGGTACCTTACCTAAGGTATCGCACTAAGCGGGAAGTGTGGCTACCCAGGGCAGCCCCCTCCACTCCACTCCACTGCCAGGTGCAGCTCACCACTCTAAGAGCTGCTAGGTGCTAGGTGCTAGGTAGATACCGGGGTACCTGCTCCTTCCACCCTGCCTGCCCTGCGAGTGTTCGCTGCTGCTGCTGCTGCAAGCTGCTGCACGGCGGAAATCGCAGTGTCCTGGGGCCTCTTTCCCTACCTAGCACCTACCTACCTCGCGGCAGCCAGCGGGTACCTTCCCAAAAGCCTTGACCTGAGTTCCGCTGCCCAGCTTCCTTGCTTTTTAGGCCCTCCCACTAAGGTAGGTATGATGATGTACCTTGCCTTAGATCGTCAGGTGGGCAGGTACTTCCATCATTCCATGTTCCGACCCCAGCATCCGTCCGTCCAAAGCCTCCCTCTCCCTCTCTGTGTCGTCCACTCCCTCCTCTCCTCTCCCGTCCTGTCTCTCGCTCGTCGCTCTCTCTTTTCCTCACCTTGTCCAGAAACGGTTCCCTGTCCGTCTCGCTCTCGATACAGTACGGTACCGTCTTGAGACACTGGGCTCCTCTCAGTCAGTGTTAATCTTGCAGGTTTCTGTGCCCCCCTCCTCTTCCCATGAGACCTCATGAGACGAGACGGCAGACCCAATGCGCGCGGCTTCTGCCACACCAAGCGCTGCTTCGCTCGCTGCACCTTACCCAGGCACATTGACTTCCTATTAGTCGCTGTCTCGCCCCTCAAGTCAGATTGGGTAGATGCTGTTGGTCGGCACGCCCTCGTCGTTTAGCGCTGAGGCTATGATTTGACGGCTACAATTGCAGACGGTCCAGGCACGCTCGAGGCGCACACCCACCACGCACACTCGCACATGTGCAGTGCAGCAACAGCTCTCCTCTCACCACTCGCTGCTGTCGAGGTAGGATACACCAAGCTATGGGTACATACCTGACGGATATGTGACAATCGATAGGCATCTGAAGGGCGGAAGCGCTATTGCGACCATGGCGCCAACAACAATGCCCAATTGACTGAGAGCTTGCATGGGCCGAGCTCCGAAGAGGGAGGATTCAGGATTGGGAAAGGGGGGCTGGCCACGGATGCTGGCATGGGAATGAATGTGAATGGAACATTGGAGATGCGAGATTGGGGGTTGAATTGCCAGTCACTGCCGAATGCAACCGCGTGTCGCCATGCTGATGCATGGCCTGCCATTTCCAGATGAATCAGAGTGAGAGGGCCACCAGAAGAATTGGACGATTTGCAGTAGGTACGGGTACCGAGATGGCTCGAGTGGAAAATGGCATTTGACGACCGGGGATGAAAAAAAAAAAATAAAGAGCAAAAAAAATAAAGGGACTTTCCTGGGCGAGTTTGTCGCGGCGGGCTTCTCGTGCAGTAGCGTCGGCAGGAACAGGGGGGGCCTGGAACCATAAAAAGAGGCCCGGCGCAGACGCCTGCAGACTAGACTCTCATTCAGCGGCGAAAGAGCGAGGGGGTCCAAGACTCCCAGGGGGGGCGCGCAACGTGAGTTGTGTGAGTGGGTGACTGCGGTTCGCGCAACTCGAATTGGGAGATGCGAGTGAGAGAGGTGAGAGATGGGGCATCCCAAGGCGCGTGGTGATGGACCAAAGACAGGGTCAGATGCGGTACGTACCGATCTGGCAGGGGCCCAAGACTCAATGAACTGCAGCGGCAATTCCAAAATCGGGACAGGGGGCGGAGAGGTGGGGGTATGCGCTTATCAGACACATGCCTACTGTGGTGCTCTGTACGTACACAGTATTACCTTACTAAGGTATGAAGTAGCGTCGCTAGTATGCATCTAACAGCTGTTGAAATCGATAATGCAGCCTGCCGTCTCTTCACCCAGATCGCGATGCATGGAAAGAAGAGACAGAAGCACCCTCATCCTCAATGATGCAACAGACACTCTCTCCTGCGGGTGACAACGTGGCGCGACAGGGACTGGACTACGCACTCGGATCCGCCCCCAATTCTTCAGTCATCTCATATATGTCCCCCGTCACCGCGACACGACAGCAGTTGCAGCAGTACGGAATCCAAAAAGACATATCGCATCCAGTCGTCCTACAGCCCCACCTTCGCTGATTGCTTTAATAACACGCGAGGTGAGGTGAGGTGACCTTCCTCGGTTTCTGCCTCCGTTCATCTCACTCTACTGGTGACAGAGAGCGCTCCTCATTACCGCCTTTTCTTGCCCTCGTCTGGGGTGCTCCTTCGCTTCGACTTTACCCAGCGGCCTGAGTGCCACCTGGAGGAATGGAGGCAGCAGAGACGAAAGGGAAGAATTGCAACCTGATACGGCTCTCGTGCGACCTGCACGCACTCGCCCACCGAATCACCCATGCCGGAGCCGTCTCGTCATGGCCAGCATCCGTCTTCCAGAGACACCCTGCAATACCACACACAAAGAGCAGCTGCGATCAATTCTCTATCATTTGGAGGTGTTGACCATTGCGGAGTACGGATAGAATGAGGAAACATTCATCCAGGGCTCAAGGGCTTCCCGACCCCATCCACTCTCCCGTGCCTTGTCGATTGGCGATGGCCTGGGGCGGGAGGTCGGGGGCATGGCCGTATGTAGCTAAAGGGGCACCTGCCTTTATCCCCGGGCAACTTGGGTGTGGATACCTCAAAGAAGAGCCTTCCCTGCCATGTCTTCCTTCCCTGTCTTTTCTTCCTGCAGCAGCCAGGAGACGAGAGCTCTGACCAAACGTGCTTTCCATTTTCAAGCTGGCACTGTGCGTACAGTGTGTCACAGTGTGACGCGACTTCCCACGTCGTCTCGCCCGGGATCACTGATGCAACTTCTCTCCCGCTGACCGCGGATCAACACCACGAACAATGATCCAAAACCACAATGCTTGACACCAGTTCAGGGGCAGCCCAGGCCAGACCTCCATCTCTTGCGGTGGTGGTGGTGGTATCGCCGGCTACATCGATCGAACCCTCCCGAGGCAAGCGGCAAAATACCAAGTAAGGTATTGGTGGCTAACCTTACTTTGCACACGAACATGAGCCAAGTTCTGGAAGCACAATCAAGGCTCGACTTTCCCAGGTTCGCCCCAACATCGTCCAAGTTCGCCTTGTCGGCCCCTTGGCCATCCTGGAAATCTCGTCAAAACCCCCCTCGCCGTCGCCAACATCTCGAACCTTGTCCGCTGTCTCTCAATGCGTAAAGAGCCTTGGGAGCCCCCAACAAGCTTCAACCGCTCCCTGCTCCTCGTCCCCGGTACCTGCGCCAGTCGTTGCTTGCTTCCACTCGAATCGCCACCACCTGGACTACGGATCCATCTGCTTGCATCTGCTGCTTGCCCTCCTTCTCAATCTCGCACCCTCACCTCACCAACTGAGCCGCCCTCTGCATTCCCCACGCCCACGTGGATGTCCGTTGTGCGGCTGACAACCGCGACAAGGTTCGTCACTCTCGTGTTGCCCACCCACGGCTTGCGCTACGAATATTACACGATCCCGCCCAGGGCTGGGATGCCGTCTTACCGATCTCGTATGTCAACGGGTGGCGATCGTGTTTGCCCAGCCCGCCTTTGAAGCCAGCCTCATTCCAGTCATTCCTGGCCTGTCATCCCGAACCGGCCCCTCGTCAGAGACCGACAAAGACGGCTTCGTGCCGACGGCCTGCTTCAAGCCCTCGAGCCGCACCCGGCAATGTGACAAAGGAACTTCCACGACGTGCCACGGCTGCAAAGATGCAAGGGACGACGCGTTGGAACGCTCAACACGCTCGCCGACTCTTCCGCATCGCGTGCCACAGCCCGTCTGAAGTTGCCTTGTGTCGATGCGACGCGGACGGAAATGCAGTGCAACTATTTGATATGCTGAGCGTTGTCACGTCGCGAACGACTGCCCGTCGTGAATGAGATTACTGTGCTGCCTCGGGCAGTAAAGTCTGAATGCGGCCACTCGAGCAAGACTCGCGAGGCTTGGATCTGCTCAGCCATCGCCCCTGACTGCACCGCAGCATCAACACGGCCGCATGCGGTCGAACCGGCAGAAGGGAGAAGAACGAAGCTCGTGCAAAGAGGACAACCCTCCTGCATCGGAGGCCACTAGCTGTTGTTCCAGGCTCCTGGCTTCTATCATGCTGATACCAATCCACGCCATGCGGCGACCATGTCCATCACCAGAAACACCAGCCTTTGATTTAATATCAAAGCCGATGTTGAAATTCGATACCGGAGTCGGCTTACAACGCCGGACCTACCTGCCCACCTTCGGATACCGTACGCAGCCCCACACCACACGGTACGGCGGCGGTGATCTACACTTCGCATATGATGCTCTCGGTGCCCGATGCCTGTCATCGACGGGGTAAATAACTGCAGCCATTCAACTTCCCCCAAGCTGCTGCAGTTAATTAGCGAGCCATTCAAGCTGCCCGTTTCAACGGCGCGACAGAGCATGGGCTGCTGCACCCCATACAACAGAAGTGCTGGGCAGATTCTGTCATAATTCGTAATGACACAGAGGTCGAGCGTGCGTCTGCTCAAAGCCGCATAGAAGCAATGGCGCGTTGGAGCGTGCATGGATTGTCAACGTCAGTCTGGTAAACCTTCGCCGCAACAAAACCTCAAACTCCAGACCGGAACTGTGTAGCCTTCAATGACATCCATGCGGCCATCCATCCGGATATCGGCCATTTTCGCCTCGCCCTGACATCTCAACTTTGCTGTGCTTGGCTGCCAGAACGCCTTGACTGCGCTGCGACTCTCGTCAGACAGCCGCCAGCCACGCCTCGTGAGCCGTCAGATCTTACAAGCCGTCGTCCATGCGCCGCCCGAAGGACGTCCAGTTCGGTGCGCGCTTGCTTTCAGACCATCGAGCTCTGTGATCGACCATTCATCACGATGGCGTCGTTGACTTGTGAAGAGTCAACAACCCAAAGCCAAAGCGCCGGAGTCCATGATCCATGGCGCCTTCCATGCGTACGGCTGCTTTTCCATTACTAGCCATCACAGCCGGTAAGATAGCGCAGATCAAGACCTCGAGCCTGTCGAACAGCATTCGCGTCGATCTCTCAAAAAGCTGCGCTCAGGTCTCTTCCTTTCGCCCTCTCAACAACTTTCCCATGCCATGCCTTCAAGTGGAGTTACTAGGGGCAATCTCAGGCCATGGAACTCTCGGCAGCCATCTGGGGATGACTGTGTATGTAATGTACACCCGAACAACGCTGCAGGTCACCACAAGCATGGGCCGCTCGCCATATTAAAAACCCTCTATCTGTCGCCAGCCGCGCTCCACGAAGGATTATCTAATGAAACAAATGTCTTTGAGCGAGCGTTGGCCCACAATCTCTTCGTTTCACAGGATCCTTTAGACATTTGACAACATTTTGGCCTGGACAACACTATCGCTGCCCCGGATTCGGGCGTCGGCACTAACACGAAGAACGACCTAGCGCACTTTTCGAGACGACAGGGCCTGCTGAGATTGCGTTGGCTTCTAGAAGGCTTGGCTCTAAGATCAAGCCCCAAGACGGTCAAGGCCGCGACGGATTATCAGGAGCACTGCCATATTGATAAGCCCGACGGACAGGAGGCGTCCAGAGCTGCCACGCCGTCCTTTCGTCCGCTCCAAGACCGTCGCCCAAGCATCGGCCTGGCCACGAACCGTGCTTCATCTTTGGCTCCTGTGGTGCCCCGACGGAACCATGGGAAAACGACCTCATGGTTGCGGTAGCGCACAGTGCGACGTGGGCTGGAAGAGATGAGATGCCCGATAGCCCAACAGACGGACAGCCAATCCATGTCTTTGAAGGTGACAATGCAACGACTGGGTTGTATTCGCAGTCTGGCCTGTGTGGAGCATGAACTGACCTCCCATCACGTCTTCACATTCGGCTGACTCGATGCAACAGGCATAGCGTGGCCGAAGCGGTTGCCAGAAGTCTCAAGAGGTTTCCTCCCGTGCGAGAGAGCAAGCCGTCGATAAGGATCCGCAAAGAAGCGGCCCCATCTTGCCGTCACGCGACGGAGCCACAGCCAAACGTTGACGAGCGTTCGTCCAAGACCTCAAAGATAGCACCGGTCCTAACCCACACTCATCTCCCGCCGAAACGGAGCCAGTCTCCAATCGGTAGGTAGCCGGGACGCATATCTCGCTCTTCGTGCATCATCTTATTGGCGATTTACGGTGAGCGCGGTCAGCGGCTGCAGCAAACTCGGGTTTTCTAGAAGCCCTGGAAGAATCATTTCGAGTCAAACCCCTGACTTTGCTGCAGCATCGCAACCTGCAGCCGGCGCGTGGCGACAGCGGTGCGGCCACGACGGCGACGCGTCCGGCAAGGGTCCTGCGCGTCAGCATGCAGCGTTACGGATACGCACGCTTGTCATGGGCGTCATGGAGATCGCTTCCTCCATACGAAGAGCAGCGCTGGATGGCGCGTCTGCCTTGGATTGTGGGTTAGAATTACGGGATCAATCGCCTGCGACGTCGAGTCAGTCTGTGCGAGTTATCGTCTCCCGCTGCCGTCAGAAGATCTGCGATAAAGTCCACGTCTTTCTCCACATTGACCGAAATTGACTGCCAGGTTCGGCGAGGACCGTCCCCACGTGCGGTCTCTGCGCCTTTCCAGGTTGGCCGGGACGACTCGGGCGTTGTTGCGGCAGCCTACATCAAAATACGGCGACTAGCCCGAGTCTAGAGACCGAAGAGGCCGGCATCGACTGATCCAGACGGTTGGCCAGCAGCGGACTATTGAGACTCTCGTGGAACGGAAAACAGCCTCATCCATGGTTCAACATTATTACGACCACATAGTTGAGATGACAAGGTTGCAGCCGGAAATCCCGACAAGGACATGTAATTGCCGCATCTCGACACCACGTTCTTCGGAGCGTGGGGGTCGCTATCTAAGTGGTTGGGGGCTGTAGGAATTACTCGAGGGGCTTGCCTGCTGTGGCAGCTGAATCATCCTCGCCCTCCACGTACACACGCTTGCCGTTGACACCCGCGACAACCTCATCCACGATGCTCTCAATGTAAGCCTGGTCCCTGCGACGCAGTTAGCATTCGTTTATCACGATCTGGGCGGGGCCTCGAGGGATGAGATTGAGCTTGTTTCCATGCCGCCCAGGCAACGTCAGCTTACCTTCCGACCAAGGTTACGGTGCCGTTCTGCTCCCACCGAGGATAGCTGCCGACTTTGACGCCCTTCGGCTCCACCTTTGCGGCAAGCTGGGTCAGGTAACCGGCGACGGCGCTCTCCGGAAGCGGGGTGGAGATGAGCACACGGCAAAGACCCTTGCCGTCCGGATCCGTAAGCCGGGGGACGATGCCGGGCTTCAGACCGTCCAGGAGCTTCTCAACTACAGACGTGTTAGTCAGCCGCACTTTTCAACATGAGCACGCGCTATGTCTTACAGAGCCGCGGGACGCCGGGCAGGATATGAATGTTGCCGTTGACAACGTTGACGGGAACCCAGAGGTCCTCGTGAGGGAAAAGGAACTGCTTGCTGGCGTCACGCTTCTCATCAGTAGGCAGGATGACCATGCGCAACTTGGCCTGCAGGGCGGGGGAGTCAACGTTCCAGTCAAAGTCGGGCTGGTTGGGGTGCGGCTTAGAGAGTCTCTTCATGCGCTCAAAGGCATCCTGGTTGAGGACCAGAGGCAGGTCGAAAGCCTTGGCTATTGACTGGTAGGTGATGTCGTCGTGCCTGCTACTGATGAGCGATGTTCAGGAGTTGCCCTTGGATAACCTACGTTGGGCCAATGCCGCCACTATGATATCTTGTCAGCGATTGATGGCTTGAAGGCTTCACTTTGGAATGCAAACCTGGTGACGACGAAGTCGTAGCGGTCACTCATCCGCCGAACAGCCTCGACGATCTCACTCTCGTCGTCCTCAATGACTTCAACTCTTTTCAAGTTCTGTCTCCAATCAACATCAACCCAGCCTTTGGGGTTCCGGAAGTCAACATACTATGCCGAGGTTGAAACACCACTTGGCCATGTAGGCCGAGTTGGTCTAGCCAATGGGTTAATACGGCTCAAGCCTTTCTGCCGATCCCACGGCGCTGGGCCGCACTCACATCAACCGTCTACGGATGCAATCACGATATCAGTCACCATGGTCAGAAGTAGCATTGAGCGGGTTTTGTTTCTCTCTAACCTTTCCACCGAGGACTTCATCGCCTATGATCAGACACGCCGCGGTGTGGATGGTGCGGGTGTTTCGCTCGTCGGCTGAGACCATGATTCTACGGGCAAGACCGGATACCGGAACGAAAGGCTTGACGGGCTTTGCGATTGTGTAGGCCGAGGGGAGATGGCGAGATAGCTGGGAGAGGCGGGAGAACATGAAGTTCTCTGTCTTGTTGTCAGTTGATGTAGAGGGGAGGGAAAAAAAAGAAGTGGTCTAGGTTACAGTGAGCGAGAATGAGTTGGGATATGCAACTGGCTGCTGTTAGCTGCACCTAGCACTCAAGCTGACTGGCTGAGCTGCTGCTACGTTATTGCGTCTTTTGGGGGGGAAGCTGGCAAAGGTTGATGGATTCGCACGAATCAAATTCTCAGACGAAGCGGATACGCAGGAGTGAGAAGGAGAAAGGGACGGTAAATGGATTGCATCGAATCGCGAGCTTCGTAGGAAAAGCGCGGGAATGCCGCTCTTCGGAGGTGCGCTGGGAGAATGTCGGCGTCACTGACATGGTGGGAGCTCCACGCTGCTGCTGCGGGTTGAGTGCGGTCACAGGTGGGTGAGGTCACAGGTGGGGCGACCCTCTCTCACAGCTCGGTGCTGGTGCCGCTGCTACAGTGTGTTGCTGGACAGCTGTGTCGGCTGCCCTGGCCTGAGAATGGCGGGGCGCGGGCTGGTCTCAACTGTCGCCCAACGAAGGGCGGGGGAGGGGAGACGTGGACGAGGGAGGGGTGGCTTGACTTTTCGATCTGACGTTCTTATTGTTGCGGCTCGTACCAAGCACCGGACCTTGGACCCTGAACACCATTTGTCAACAACGCCTTCACGAGGAGCGGCGCAACTCTGTCAATCAATTTCGCTTTTCGCTAGCTGTCCAGCTGTAGTCCCGCCAGACACTTTGTCGCATACCTCGAGCAATCCCGAATACCCCTCCATCACCCCGCTCCGAAACCAGAAGCCATGGTGCGCAAGCTTCTCTCTCCCCCGCTCCCCGCCATCGGCCGTGTGCCGTCTGTCTCATCCGATTCCCCGCTGACGGTTGCGTTCTTCTGTGCACAATGTAGGCGTCCGAGTCGAGGCTGTATACCTTCTCGCAGGAGACCAAGGACCACCTGCGCAAGTTCCGTCTGGGAACCTCGCGGTCGAATGACCCGCAAGCTGTCATCTGTATGTACGTCTCTGTTGCTGGTCCGAAACGGGACGCAGGCCTTTGTGATGGGAAGTGGTTTGGCTAACGACGGTGGCGACCTCTTTCTCCGCAGACTACATTGACAAGAACACGCACGAGATCAAGCAGGATGACGACAAGGTTGTGTACAAGAGCCTCGAGGAGATTGGCGACGACCTGCCGGACCACAGTCCGAGATTCGTGTTGCTGAGCTACCCTCTCACACTGGTACGTTGCTCCCTGGCATGGCGCGCGGAAAGGAGACGACGAGGCTAACATGTGGTGTACACAGCCCTCCGGCCGCCTGTCGGTGCCGTACGTCCTGATCTACTACCTCCCCATCACCTGCAACAACGAGATCCGCATGCTCTACGCCGGCGCCAAGGAACTGATGCGGAATACGAGCGAGGTCGGCCGCGTGATTGACATCCAGGAAGCCGAGGACCTGGAGGAGATACCGTCCAAGCTGGGGTCTGCTGCGTAGGCGGAGGAAGCATGAGGTGGAGGCATACATACAGAGAGAGGCATGGCCACCTAACCCATGGAGTTGATGGCATGCGGCATGCACATAATACGAGCCATGAAGTCAAACACTGCATTTGCAGAAGAAAATGGGATATCTTGATTGAACGTGTGAAACTCATTAAACGCCAAACATCCAAGACCTAAACACAAATTCGTTACTCTGGCAAAACCTCCTTTTCATCCAAGCCCATCTGCCTGCTCACGTTCCGCACAACCTCCTTGAACGCAACACACGCGGGGCTGTCGGGGAAATTGTCAAAGAAGCTCTCGCCGTAGTCGCACGCGATGCCGATCCGCGGGTCCAGCGGCACGCTGCCCAGGAACGGGATGCCCATCTCCTGCGCCAGCGCGCGGCCGCCGCCGGTGGTCGCGCGGAAGATCTCGCTCTGGTTCGTGCACTTGGGGCACACGAAGCCGGCCATGTTCTCGGCGAGGCCGAGGATGCGGATGCCGGCCTTGCGGCAGAAGTCGATCTCCTTGCGGACGTCGAGCAACGAGACCTCTTGCGGCGTGGTCACGACGACGGCGCCGTCGATGCCCGAGTCGCGCAGGAAGGTGTTGACGGAGAGGTGCTCGTCCGAGGTGCCCGGGGGCGTGTCGACCAGCAGGAAGTCGAGGTCGCCCCACTCGACATCCTTGAGGAACTGCTTGATGAGGCCGTTCTTTTTCGCGCCGCGCCAGATGATGGCGGCGTTGCGGTCGGGCAGCATGAACTGGATGGACATGACGCCGAGGTTGTCCATGACCCAGACGGGGGACCAGCCGGCGCCGGAGACGTGGATTGTCTCGGCCTCGACGCCGAGCATCTTGGGGATGGAGGGCCCGCAGATGTCGGTGTCCATGATGCCGACGGAGGAGTCCTCGTTGGTGGCGAAGGCCTGCGCGAGGAGGGTGGTAAAGGTGGACTTGCCGACGCCGCCTTTGCCGGAGAGCACGAGGATCTTGTGGCGGATGCCGGAGAGGCGGGCGGAGATGAGGGGGATGTCGGGGTCGGGCCCGGTTTTGGCGGTCGCGGCGCAGATTTGCTGGTTGGGGCAGCCGTCGCAGGAGGAGGCGGTGCCGGCGGTCGGGGCCTCGGGACCGGGACAGTGTTCTGGTTCCGGAGCGACGAGCTGGGGGGCTTGTTTTTGGGGGTTGGCGAGGACGTCGAGGGTTGAGGCGTCTGTGTCTGCTTCGAGGGAGGGTGCCATCTTGGAGGGGGGTTGCCCGGAGGCGGGGTGACGAGCGAGGAAGGTTGGGGGTGACTGAAGGCGAGAGGGAGGTTGAATGAGATGTGAGATTGGTAGTAGTTGGATGTGAAATGGAGAGGTGAAGGTGAATTGAGACCAGGCCTGGTCCGGGACCGGACTGAGGTTGAGTGAGGTGAAGTTGATTGATAAGCCGGGTTCAAGTCGTGTTCTGTCGCGGGGTTAGTAATGCGATCTTGAAGTCTGTTTAGACGGATGACTTACTTATTGTGTTCTCCTTTGGTATATCCGCGGGTTGCTTCCAAGAAGCGGTTGTATTACCACTTATGTTTATGTCGAATCGGTACAGTTAGGGTACAGTTAGAGTTGAAGGGTGACAAAAGAAGTCGCTGTGAGTGGTGGCGAAACCGAGCCTCACAAATCCGCGGAGACGGTCGACCCCACTTAATAGAGTCACCAACCAGACGCTGAATAACAAGAGCCTGAGATGACAAAGTTTGCTGTCATCTGGTCATGAGTAGATAACAGAGAAACAAGTTAACATAGAAACAGCAAAAGAGTCAACACAAAACTCAGCGTCTCATGAAGAATCATAGGAATGAGCAAAAGGTAGGTCCATCCAGGATTCGAACCTGGGCCTACGGAAGGTTCTGGGTGTGAATCAGAATCCGACGTCCTAACCAACTAGACTAATAGACCAGTGAAGGCTTATTGTTCCTTGCGAAAGTTGCCGGATTGCCAGTCCTTGAAGCGTCAAACGCAGTCGAATCGGGTCAGCTCCATCAGTGCCGCGCTTGATTTCTTGCAGAAAATGCGACTGTGGTGGGCAGTGTGGCCCGCTGTCGTCGGGGCTGCAGCCTGAGAGGGTGGAACCGTTACAGGGCCCTTCAGCGTTCCACGGGCAGCGCTGAAGTGAGGGGCAACCTTGGAAGATCTTATCGGGCGCCAAATCACCCCGCCGCTGCCCCTCGCAAAATTTCTACTATGTACAATCTTTATCAGATCCGAACAGTGACTGACTGACGGACGCCGCGCCGCCGCACCACCACTACCGCACCTCGGAGGTAACTCTTTTCCCCCCTCGTACGTAAGAAAGCCCTTTTCTGCTAACAAAATCGGCCCACGCCTTTACCTTCCCCCTTCTTCGCCTCACTTTGCAGCTTTGATATTTACTATCTTTTCTTTTCTCTGACTCTTTTGCGTTTTCAAGACACAGATACCCCCAATAGACCACCAGCAAAAATGTCGCCCTCCGCCGTAGACATGCCCGAGTCCCGCGAGACCCTCGAGGCCCTCGCCGCCGCCAACGCCGCCTCCAGCGAAAAGACCACCTCGCAGACCGTCGCCGAGCTGCGCAAGACCCTCACCTCCGAGGCGAGCCCCCTGCCCATCCGCTTCCGCGCCCTCTTCTCCCTCAAGCACGTCGCCTGCAAGGACAAGAGCGCCGACGCCGAGGCCGCCATCGACGCCATCGCCGCCGGCTTCGCGTCCCCCTCGGCCCTGCTCAAGCACGAGCTCGCCTACTGCCTCGGCCAGACCGGCAACCTGTATGCGGTCGAGCCGCTGCGCGCCGTCCTGCGCGACCTGAAGGAGGACCCTATGTGCCGCCACGAGGCCGCCGAGGCGCTCGGCGCGCTGGGCGACGCGGGGCAGCTTGAGATCCTGAAGGAGTTCAGGGACCGCGAGGGCGAGGACGTGTGTATCGTCGAGACGTGCGAGATCGCTATTGATCTTATTGAGTGGCAAAACTCTGAGCAGAGGAAGCTGGAGAAGCTTCAAAAGAGGTATGGAACACACACTACACTGGCACCACAGACGAGAGTCTTTTCTTTTGGAAGGAAAGGGTATCATGTTGTTTTGTCTATGCTCTATGTTCGCTAACGCCGTGACCCGCGCAAAACAGCGACTTCACATCCGTAGACCCCGCGCCGCCCATGGAGATGTCGCAGCGCACCGTCCCGGAGCTCGAAAAGACCCTGATGGACGCCTCGCTGCCGCTCTTCCTGCGCTACCGCGCCATGTTCGCCCTGCGCGACCTCGCCTCGCCCCCTGACCTCCCCACCGCCGTCCCCGCCGTGCTGGCCCTGGCCAAGGGCTTCGCCGACTCCTCCGCGCTGTTCCGCCACGAGATCGCCTTCGTCTTCGGCCAGCTGTCGCACCCGGCGTCGATCCCGGCGCTGACGGAGGCGCTGAGCAACACGGAGGAGGCGAGCATGGTGCGCCACGAGGCGGCCGAGGCGCTGGGCAGCCTGGGCGACGAGGAGGGCGTCGAGGCCACGCTGCTCAAGTTCCTGCACGACAAGGAGAAGGTCGTGCGGGAGAGTGTCATTGTCGCGCTGGACATGGCCGAGTTCGAGTCGAGCGGGCAGACGGAGTACGCGTTGATTCCGGAGGGTGCCAAGGTGGCTGCTTGAGGAAGAGCACGAAAAGGGAAGCGGGAGATATATAGGTAGTTCTATTGGGTGTCGCGGGGTGGGATATAGATCATTAGTCGGGATAAGGTACTTAAAAGCGACGGGTAAAAAGTTTAGTGTATTTCAGTTGTTATGAGACCACCTGAAAATTGTCAGTTCGTCTCTCTCACTCGGGTTCCCAGAATGTGTTTGTGAGAAGGGCATACCTGAAGCCACAGTCGCAGTTGAAGAAGATGGTACTGCCTTCGTCTGCACTACGCAGCTGGACCGCAGAGAAGCGGACCTCCTCTCTTCCGCACTTGGGGCATGTCTCCTTGATCGTGGCCTCGGTGCTGATGTTCTTGTCGAGGGCCTGGACGTTGGATTGGAGCTTTTGGCGGAGCTGGGAGGGGAAATCGGAGGGCTTCGTCTGGGTGACGATGGTCTTGGATCCGGTGTCTGTCAAAGTGAAGTGTCAGCTCTCAGTCGCAGAACTGAGCCAGCAATTGGCAGATCAGATCGAATGCGCCGGCGATCGACGTACCCTTGTTCTCGGCGCCGCAGCAATCGCAGATGAGCTTGTTCTTTTCAGAGCCCATGGATGCAGGCAGCAGGTTGCCGCAGTCGACGCAGAAGACGAGGGTTCCAATGGCAGACATGGTGACGGTGATTGCTAATTGCGGTGGTTGTGCTGATTGACGTAGTACTGCTATTCAATCTCTAAAATCGAATGGATCGGAAGTATCGCGCGGAAAGACCGACAAAATATTTCTGCTGGAAGATTTTCGGATCGCCTTATCGTTATCGGCTTTCTTTCCTCTCCTATCGGTTCTCTTATCGGTTGGGGAGAGACAAGACAGGCAGGACCTGGAGCCTGCCACCTGGTGCCGGATTAACCGACACAATACAAGACAAGGCAAGGCAACAACCGCCCGCGCCCCAGGGGAAACAGGCAGGAACGGAACAACTGGCCACTGGCTGGGCAAAGCTTGTGCACAGACCACCCAACCGACAAGGGTCTTTCCACGCAAGGCTGTCGCAACCTTCCCACTTTCCCATCCCAATCACGACCTTGACGTCGACGTGATCGCGACTCGACATCTGTCCCGCGGAACCTGCCATTAATCGACGAAAATCACGATGCAACTGCCTATCTTCTGACGAACACCTTTTAATAGACTATTTCTCCCGCCTTCGTAAACGAAAGACCTTTCCCTTCACGTAGATGCGAATACCCTCGAGCGCGCGACTCGCCAACCGACCTTGACGTCCCACCGACTTCGATTTCTTTGACCATTCCGAGAGAACATGTCTGTATGAGAGGATCGACGTCCGAGGACACTCGTCAAAATGGTGAACAGCCAAGGGGTCATGCCTAATGGCCCTCCTAATGGCGGCTACATGCAGCCTCAGACGGAGCAGCGCCCGATGGCGCGACCTTTCACCCTCCCGGAGGCGTTGCCATTCTCGCCACAAACCTCTGTCATCCCGTTTACCTCTGGTATGTTTGGGTTTGATGCCAGGAGCTGCTGGTTTTCTGTGCTCACGTAAATCAGATCTCATCCCAGATCCGACCATTGGTTCCGGCTCGCTTGCAGCGAGTGTATCACATCTCTTCAACAGCCAGGAGTTCGACAACCTCAACAAAGAGGCGACCGGACCGAACCAGAATCACGGGTTGAAACACCTGAAATATGCCGTTGATCATGTGCTCCACGACCTGAAGCCGAATCAACGGACTTACTAGTAAGTGGCTTGCAGTGTCGGGGAGACGCTTTGTATTAACCACAATGGTCCGTACAGCAAGTTCAAGTCCGTACCGAAGCCGAACCTTAACTCGAATGCGAGCCCAACGGGTGGTTATCAGAGCTTGAGTGCGGGCTTGTCTCCCGTGGCCAAGATGATGTTCGACAGAGCTCCGACTTTCATCAAACCGCCTCCCGGGGCTGCTGGTCTTGCACCTCCGAACGGACAGGCGACGCCTGCTCAACCGTCGCAGCAGCCTCCGTCAACACCAAAGAGCTCTGCATCATATCAGAGACTTTCATCGATGCACCCAGACCCGCATCAAAGAAACAATTTCAAATTCGAGGTCGCGATCCCTTCTAAGAAATTCGATCCGAGCGCCTACGTAGAAGTTCCTGAGCATTCGGCACCACCGCAACCCGTTCGCAAGTCGTCAAAAGAGAAGGAAGTCGCGACTCCAGCCCAGGCTCCTTCCGCGCAGCGAACACCCACACCCACACAACCTCAAAAACCTGTCAAGCTTGAGTCGGCCCAGCAAACTCCTCAGCCCGCACCTGCGCAACTTCCTGCCCAACCAGAGCAACCCGCTCAACCCACTCCTTCCCAACCTATCGCCATTCAACCCGCGCCCCCTCAACTAGCTCCTGCGTTGGCACCAAAGCAACCCACACCGCCCGGTGCGTCACGAACCCCTGGCGGCGGCGCATTCACAATCGAGCTTCCCCATGCGCCCGGTTTTAACAAGGAAGAGTACCTTGAAATGGCTGTCCCGGACTCACCAGATGAGCCGACTGGCTTATCCATGCGCAAACAAGACGGCGCCTACCAAAATCGACAAGACGAGATCAACACAAATCTTAACCAACGACAGCGAGCCGAAGCCGCCCTGCAAGATTTTGAGCGACTGACCAAGACTGTTTTCGAGGCCATTAGAAGTGTTCTCGGAAGCGAGCCTGGTTATGAGCAGATTGCGACCTTGAACAGCGACAACGTCCCCATCCTCACGGCTTCGACCCAGCAAAAGCTTCAGACCTCGATTCAAAAGCTCATCGACCTCGGAAGCTACAAAGACGCATCCATCGACGACCTTCAAATGACCCAAAGACTAAGCGAACCGGGGCTGTCGCATGTGCTCAATCTCGATTTCAAGGTTGACGAGTCCTGGGGTGAGTCCGAAGTCTCAGGCTTTTTGAACCAGTTGCCGGACATCGAGATGGGACTCAAGACTGCTCGTACATGTCTGCGCATCATGTGCGGCGGTAGGGAAGAGAAGCAGATCTACTCTGAAGAAATCATTCAGAAGTCGATCGATGTTTTCAAGAGTGTCGTCGAAGGCATTGTCACTCCTGTGGTTGAGATGCGCGGTTCCGGCTCAACATCTGCTCTATTCAAGTTGTTGCAACCATACAAGAAGGCGATTGGGCCTGTATTGACAAACTGCCAGAAGCTGTTTGCTTTACTCGCCAAACTCGTCACATGTATCGAGCTTTCCGACACGGCTCTCGGCACCTTGGAGTTCGCCGCCTCAAGCCTCCTTTTCGTCGACAACGCCTACTTGGAGAAGGACTCTGTCGTCGGAGTACAGAAGTTTGATGGTATCCGTCTCGTCGCTATGGAAATGCTTTGTCAGATCTTCCTCGCCAAACCCGATCAGCGCCGTGGCATTTTCGACGACATTCTGACCTCACTGGAGAAACTACCTGTCGGAAAGCAGAGCGCCCGTCAGTTCCGCCTGTCAAATGGCAGCAGTATTCAACCTGTATCAGCTCTCATCATGCGTCTTGTACAAGCAAGTTCTGGCAAGGTGGAGGAAAAGGGTACGCGCAGCCGGGCGATGATGAACGAAGACGACGAGGATGAGGAGATGCCTCTTGCTGGAAAACCAACTGTGGTAGCTACCGTCAAGTCCGAAGAGTCAGGCGCCTCCCAACACCAGCTTGCCCTCGAGGAACTCAAGGCCGTGACGCTTCCATTGACTGAGGGCGCCACGCACAACGCTAATTACGTCGTCAACTTTATGGTCAACCGTGCTTTGAAGTCGACCAAGTCAGGCGATACCCCTTACCGTAACCTGCTAGATCTGTTCGTCGAGGACTTTACGGAATGTCTCGACTCGCCGGACTGGCCCTCTGCGGAGCTCATCCTGCGTCAGCTAACATTTTACATGATGAAGTTGTGGGATGGAGAAAGGACCGCGGCACCCGCCAAGAATATGGCTCTCGAGTTGCTTGGCGTGATGAGCGCTGCCATTTCCAAGCTACGATCGCATGTTCGCAGGACAGCCAACTCAACTGACGGCACCGATTCTAATGAGCTGTCTCGATATCTGTCAGAATTGGCGACATCGGCTTTGGAGCAGAAGTCTCGTATCGAGCACGACATATCCTGGTCAGGACCCTACCGAGCAACTCTAGAGCATCTTCAACAGCGACAAAACGACGATCCTCATTTGCAAGGAGCCATTTCATTCATGATTGCCGACTGGGCTTACAGAATCTTTTCTGGACACGACGCGATGCAAGAAACTTACGATTCTCTCGAACAAGAATTTGGCCGCCTCGCTTTCCGCCTGCGCATGATGATCGAAGACCGCCGATGGCTTTCCAACGAGTACACGTTCAAGGACGTTAGCAACAATCACGCCAAGCTCTCTTACGCCATCATTTTGCTCCGTTCACCATTCTGCGAACATTTCCAGGCCATGCTCAACGTGCTCCTGAAAGCCATGGCTAGTGACCAAGCCACTGTCCGAAGCAAGAGTCTGAAGAGTATCAATCAGCTTCTGGAAACTGACCCAGCTATCCTCGATGGAGACTCCGTGGTCGTTCAGCTCATCATCAACTGCTCAAGCGATTCATCCCCACAGGTACGCGATTCTGCCATTGGCCTCATGGGCAAGTGTATTGCACTGCGCCCCAGATTGGAGGATAAGATGGCGGAGAGAATAATTGAGAGATTCATCGACTCCGGTATTGGTGTGCGCAAGAGAGCCATGAAACTGGCAAAGGACATTTACCTCCGCAACCAAAGCAGAGAAATTCGCAGTGCCATCGCGAACGGCTTGCTCCACCGTGTACAAGATCCGGACGAGGGAGTACGAGAACTAGCTCGCCAGATGATCGAAGAAGTCTGGTTTGCTCCGTTCTATCAGGTTGACGATACAGCGGCGTACAAGACATCACTCACAGACCATGTCGCTCTCATGATCCAGACTGTCAAATCTGGTAACGTGGGCGCCGTCCTGGACAAGGTACTTCAGTCTATCCTTGGTGGCCAGAACAAAGCCAGCTCAGGACCTTTTAGTGTCAGCATGAAGTTGGTTGAGAAGATGTTTGAGCTCATCGACAACCTTGACTCGGATGATCCTACAATTCCATCAGGAAGAGACGCGCTGCAAGTCCTTCAGATCTTTGCCAAGGCCGATGCGAAACTGTTTACTTTTGAGGAAATCCGACTCCTCAAACCCCATCTCGCCAGCTTTAGCGGCACCGACGATCTCACTGTGTTCAAGGCTGTGACGGTTATTTACCGCCAAGTATTGCCGCAATTGTCGGTCAAGTACGCCGACTTCCTCCGCGAACTACGAGAGCAGCTTCAGAACTCCGTGGGCAGACTGGGCAAAGCCTTGCTTGACGATGTTATTGCCTGTTTGTGGATCATTGCAGAGCTGCTGGACAACCGTGACAAGCTGGCTCACTTGGGTGCCTCCAGTCTTCGTGGTGTCGCTAGTATGCGCAACACGGCGATGGACGCCACAAAGCTCCAGAAGTTTGCCAGATACTCGATCATCGTGGGAATGGTCGGCAAACATTGCGACCTAGACTCCGAGATTGCTGTCTTCAAGAAGATCTTTCCCAAATACTCTGGCACTTCGGTCGCGAAACTCATGGTCGACAACCTTTCACCTTGGGCA